AGGCCTGCTGTACGACATCGATGTTAGCATATATGAACTTTGTTAAACGGACGATAGAATATGGATAATTTGGGTCGTTAAACTTGATCTGGCGACTTGTCAGCGTGCGCAAAGAAATAAATAATGTTTACACATCTATCCGTATAAATGCAAGGACGGGCGACCGTAGTGGTAATTCGAATCGTCGTATAGGGTTGCTCCTGATGTATACTTGGGTAATCGACCAAAATGGATAACCGATACGTTGAATGAAAAAAGCGGAAAGTATGCTAACGAATGATGGCTTACGATAAAATTGTGTGCATTAAACACAACTTGTAATATGACGGATTGAACGACCTTGCGTGAGTAGAAACCAAACGCAGCATGATTGATGGCTCGTGTTTAATGGCTTTTTCATAACGACCTATATGCAGTCAAACTTATCAAATATCGAATGATCTTGTGGTGTGAATTTTTCTGATATTAACTATCATGTATTCATTTAGATAAACACGATGTTCTGGACGTGGTACACGCAAACGTTATGCGTGTATTATGATTACATGATATTGGGTCAACGGGCGTGGTTCGATTAGCGTTATAATAATTCTGCGGGAAATATTACACCGTTTTCACGCAATATATAATGGTAAGGAAATAAGAATCTATCGATTTTTTTTAATTATAGCCATATATTATAAATATATCCTAAACATGCAGTTAAAGATCCAAAATTACGATGCCTATATTGCCAACAAGATATATGTTTATAATATTTGTTACCAAAATAGTTATTTGGTAACTAGCAAAGTAACAAAGGCGTTATGAAATTTGGCGGATGGTAGACATAGCTCGACATGATCCGACGGCCAATCTGTGGAAGGTCCTCTAATAAAACAGTATATGATACGCGATCTGGATCGAAGAGATACATGCGAGTGCGTCTTTGAGACCAAAAACAAACATAATTGCGTATACTAATTTTTGTTATATAACTGATTAGTTGTAAATAAAACACCCCTGATGGGGCCTGTTATAGACGGGAAATTATAAAATGCATCGTCAAAGAAAATGATAATGATAACGTCTGTATCTATCAGCATAAGCAAATTAAGTTTTCTCAACAGAAAGTATACGGCGTCCCTACGCTGTACTAATATATAAATTTCCTTGTATCAATCGTTAAACTTTTTTACCACGAAGGATCGCTAGCGTGCAATCACAATAGCATTTACGCGTGACGCAGTTATAAAATTTATTGATCGATAAATTGCATATTGGCTTAAACGCTGAGAGATGCCTAAACATCAAATTCACAAGACCAAGTATAATTATGGTGGTATGACGCAAATAAAGCAGATTACCAGATACATTTTACATCTAATCACGTATTATTTGGTCAAAAAAGATCATTTACACCAAGAACTTACCAAAACGTTAAAATACGGCCGTACATTCTGTTGTGAAGCATAAGTATCATCGCTGCTCCTAACGAAAACAACTTATCTTGTATGCCCATGATGATTATTGATACCATGCGAAGGCTGATAGCAAAGTTTAGCGCAAAACAACAATACACTATCACTATAAGAAGAAAAATCAGCTGGCTGGCAAATACGACTTGCGTGGAAGATTACTAAGCCGCCATCAATATTGCGGTGATAACAGTCACGCAAATATATATGAAGATATGTCAAATCGTAATAAAATGTGTGTGGGATGTGACTAAAGCATCAATGCATTGTAAAATGCAGAATTCTGGGCCCTATTATAGTTTGTGAATTGTTGCATGGCGTATAAAGAGCACAGGGGTCTTTTTTATGGTAAGAAATGCGTAAAATTATAGCTTACTTTAACTATATTCTCAATGGTCGTGGGTTTAATTTGTGCAGGGGCTCTAGATAGAAAACTGTATAGTATTCTGATTTCCAGATGATTCGTTTAATTTAGCATAAGCATGCGTTCGTTTTTGTGGTGAATCATATCCTTGCACGAATTTTGCGGTCACTTTTTGATGGATAGTATAGTGATACATTAAAGCGGCTGAATATGTTGGTATAATTATGAGTCATATCTCTGCCTAAACAGGTCTTAATACTGCGGTCTTTTGCAACGGGTATCACCCTTTTTGACATAATATAGTACTCTATATATTTCATAACACATATTGATTGATGCCAGCATGGGGTCTAAGCATGGTCGAATCATAAGAATAATGAAATGAGGAACATAATTAGCTATACTAATTGCAATTATACTTTCGGGAACTTTTATCGCTAGATGCGCATCAAAAGGAGGCAATTAACAATCTGAACACTATACAGGCCATGATTTCCGTACATTTCATTAACATATGTTGGCTATATTTTTTACATAATATCATTCAATAAATCGTTTTGTACTTGTCTATTGTACCAGATTGACCTATACTCTGCGCTTAGACACCCGATATCACTACTTAGACGTATGCCGATATTTCGTAAACAAATTTATTAATTCGTAAAATGTATAACGTAGACGCCTAATTTATGTACTCGACACGGTCCGCTACAATCTAAAGCAGCTTTACATTATATAAAATATCAAAGTATTACGTCGACAGATTTTGAAGTAATGTATGACAAACTGTTCTCGATTACATGCTTGTATACTCGGCTTTTTAAATAAACCACGCGCTTTCTACGCACATAGAATCCTAAATATGATGTATGAGCAGACGTGGTTATTGTTTGTTATGTCAAAAGACTTATTAGTACTATAGGTATGCGTCTTACTTTGACTCTATCGAATACACAAGTACTCGCATATCTACAAATGTAGCCTTCATATGGATGACAGGCAAGAATTCATAGTTCACATATGTAAGTTATACTTTGTATGCGACGTTAAACTTGATTAAAGGTATTGTGGATACACGTATACCCAACCCGTCGCATTTAATAGGATCCAAACCTAAATGTATTACTTTAACGACGAATATTGATAAAATCCTGACGTATAACATCCGGTTTGAGTGCAACATTTATAAATGTGTAATGTCTCTTATCAAGATAGTTCATGCTTATTTCTTGCCGCATATAATTCTGAAAAACATATATTATTCTACTAGAAATCGTTTTGTAATAAATAAGTTAAGCTTCCACGCTTTAGAACCTATCGGTGCTTTATTAATTCACGTTACACATCAATTTCATTTTACTTTTCAAATCCTATGGTTTGACACAGCCTTTATATATATTTTCTATGAATATGTCAATATTGTTGGTTTTCATGATAGATGAGACAACACAGGATCAATATAGACATTCTTAAATATACTAGAACACACCTAGAAGCAGTATTTAGGTACTGTGTCCTGTTACTTCATAAACTGCGATCATATACAATATGTAAGTGTGAAAAGTTGTTTGAAGTTAGAAATACATCCGCATAGCATTTCATTTCAGTACATTATGTCGCCAACATATTTGCCAAGTTATGACAACTTCGACTGTCATTGGCTCTGACGCAATTATTTTTATAGTATAAAATATAGCTTTAGCTTAATTAGTGAGAACGTCTTCGTCGTCATTCGTTAATTTTATCACAATACTGACACGAACCATGTTACATTATTCAAATAGTCGATCAACTTGCGGAAATAAGTGCGACTTATTTTTTAAATGGCATAGTTGTATGTTGCCCGTGGTATTGGTATTTGCCTTCTCAATTTCTCTTTTCATGCACAAACGCAGGATACTGATGGTCTGTTCGTATTTGTCGATGTTTCCCGTGGGCGTCAAACTTGCATGTCAATATTTTTATACTGTTTCAGCTGAATAATCAACACTTGCACAAAAATACGTCAATAGTGTAGGGGTCAATTTCATTTATTACTGCAATATCAGTATCCATCATAACAAACAAAACGAATCTTAACCAATGTAATCTTATCAAGTATACAATGTCTACTGTATCGAATTTCAATTGTTCTTCTGAATGTTTTTACGTCTTCGCGCTTCCCCCTACGTGCACATGTTCTAATGTAGTTCCATAAATGTTTTGTTAAGATCTTGATCTTTTTAAATTTTAAGATCTTAAAGCTGTTGTGGCGCATTTATTATGGCTTATGCTGTTTTGTGTATCCCATTTACCAACCTGGTTGCTTATGGTATCACGATACAGGCGCATCGCTCATATGTCTGGTACAACTATGATGCAAAATATATGACTACCATGATAGTGCTGTGCAAATTCTTTGACTACCATGATAGTGTTGTTTAAATGCAACATATTGTACGAGATCACATGTGGACGACCCATACAAGTAGAAGGAAAACATGTGGTCACTTTAAAGAACATGTGGATAAGACTTAACTTATCAGGCTTCTTTCTCTATAAATACAACGTACAACTTAAAGTAAAGAGTTTCTTTATCTGTAAATAATGCACATAAGTCTCTTGCTTTAAAATTGCTTATCGTTATCTTTGGAAGTGGACAATGCTAGGCGATCATTGCCGCGTCAACAAGGCATTCTGTACTCCTCTCTTGTGCGCTCAAATCCGATCGGCAGATATATCTATAGTCCGGATTACTGACTCGTATTTTGATATAGCACAACAATGCAGTACTGAATCAATTTTGACAGTGTTCGTAGCGAGGTATGTAACGTATCCCACAAGTATGCCCCAACAAACTTTCTACAGGAAAAGCAGCAGAAAGTACGCAGATGACGGTAATTTTATCGTGACCCATTATTACAACGTGCCTGATTGCCGATCAAGAAGCAAAAACTGGACGATCAGTGTAGTAATTGCACAGGATTTCATCAAGAAATAGACACGCTCCGAAATCGGTTTCCATACGCAAGTCGGGGCTCGGTGTGATACTATCATTACTAATCGTACGTTCATATAAATGGCCGGATTTATGATTGCTAATGTTCAACCTTCAAAGACCACATTTTGGATTTGGGGCTATATTACGCCCCATCGCCGATATCATCATTGCTAACTTTCAACCTTTTTCGACTCTATTTCTAACTAAAGATTCCACTTTTATCAGCAATCCTATGAATTCCAGCACCACTTCTATCACCATAACACTCTATCGCAATCTTTGCATTCGCCAGACAGGTAAGTTTTTCCCTGAGCTGACGACGTTCCGCCACTTTGAGCTCGGAGTTTTGCATCAGTCTGGCCAGTGTCGCATCCGTCAACCCGTTGAGCTCCTGTGCCATTTCGTCGACAAACTTCTTCAAAATCAAGTCGTTCAGCCGCATGAGAATCTCGTCTGCAAAGCGCGCGACCGCCACCTTGAAGTACGCTTCCAGTGCCGCTTGCATATCAAGCGCTTCCCGATCTTCCATAGACGCTGCCGCTGCTTTTGTAGCCTTCATGACCACAGCGAGATCCACTTTTCCATCTGAATCTGCTTGAACGGATGTGGTCACTTGTTCTTGAAGAGCCTTCAAGTGTTCTTGGTCCAATTCGTCATACAAACGCTTGTCCTGAGTGTACGGCCGACCTTCCCCATTCAGCACCAGTCTCATCTCCATACTCGCATTCGCAACCACTCGGTCCAGCACATCGGACGCAGTACTTCTGAGAAACTGCACAACTCGAGAATTGGCCCCAACCTCCTTAGAGACGAAGTCCGACACCAACTTTGTCTGCAACAGATACGCACGCACCAGTGCATTTGTCGGTGGCCCCCACTTGTCAACGATCTTGCGAAACAAGTTGCGAAAGACTTGGTACGACGGAAAAATCGGGAGCTCATCGCCGCGGTTTTCACGGATAAACTGTTTCAGCATCGCCCGTTCGTCGAAGCGCCAATGGTCCTTGCTCTTCCACTGCTGGTCATACTCCTCGCAGCAAATGTCCGTTCCGTTGATCCCTTTCACTCGCCCACTGCGATACTGGCCGTCGGTCTCAATTTGCACGGCATCCCCAACTGCCACTTGTTCTTGTGGTTTCTTCGCATCGGCGTCGCCAAACACACAGTCTTTCGACTTCTTGATCGCAACTTCAAAGCTAGCTTCCTTGACACGAAGAATGGCTCGAAGACGGACATTCATTTTGGGTGGATTCGGACATCGATCCGATGCTGTTGGTGTCGGGGTAGACGGCAGTGCTTCGTAACGTCCGCTCATTGCTGCTTCGATCAACCGCAAGTACTGATCAACCCACTTGCCAAACTGCTGACGTTGCACCACGGGTGTTTCCAACGGCGTGCCCAGTTTCGCCAATGACTTTTGCGTCTCCGTCATGCGCGAACTGATCTCCTCCACCACCTTTGGCAGTGACCGACGGATATTGTCTTGCAGAATTGACATCAACCGTTCACTTAGTCGTGGCACTCCCCACAAGTGCGTCGATAGTCGGCGCCAATACTCGTGCTCGCCGAAAAACACCTTTTCGACTGCCAGCCCTCTTTCAATGCTCATGCGCTTGGACAGATCCCGTTGGCTTCGGCACTTCACGGCGTGGTAGCCCAAGTGCATTTTCTTCTTGCGGTTCAGAAGTAACTCGTGCACTGCAAGCTCTGCACCAGCGTCAACCAAATCCACTTTGGTCACCACGGCAATGGTTCTCGTTCCATTCGGGTCGGCCTCTTGAGCCGCTTGCAATATCTCCGTATTGTGCATGTCGACATTAGCTGGCACAACAGCAATGATGACCGTTCGCTCTTGCTGCATGTAACGGTTGATCATTTGCCGAACCCTTGCAATGATGCTATGGTCTTCGTGATCGCCCACAGTGCGCACAAATCCCGGCAGGTCGGTGAGAGTGAGATTTGGCATGTCGGGGCCACTCATTTCAATCACAATTTGATCGTCACTAATGTATTGGCCTTCGTCGATCAGTTTCTGCGTGAGCTTCGTGATGGCACATGGGACGTCGTCTAGATGAGTGAGCTTTTCACCCTCTTCCCCGGTATCCGTCTCACCCTCCTCATCAGTACCTCCATCCGAGCGAAACCGGACGAGGCGCACCGTTCCGCTGAATGTGCTGGCACGAGAGAGGACGAGCTGAGTAGGACACCTCGTCGTGAGCTGATCACTGGATGGAAACGAGACGCCTGAAAGCGCCGACAGGAGGGACGATTTGCCGCTGGAAGTGTCCCCCATCACCGCAATTTGCGGCAGCTCAATGTATTGGCCAAGACCAATATCACGGAGCTTGTCGATCAGCCTTCGCTCTTCTTGAGCATTCACTTGGGCAAACAAACTGCTTTGGAAACTCTTGGTCATATTGGCGAAGCTGGTCCAGGAGGTGGCGCTGAAGTGTGGTGGAAAGACGAAGTGCAAAAGTGAGAGCTAGCATCGCAACAAGTGAGGCACAGTCGATGCACCGAACTGTTGCTTGGCTCAATCAGTCAATCGGTCCATTCGACCACGTTCTCGTTGGAGTTCCCACTTTGATAGATTTGACTAGATCCAAAGAGACTCGATTACGTTGATCTTAGGACTCGTCCGAAGTTTTCTTTATCAATGTGTGGAATAGTACTATTACAAATACTCGAGCAAGGCGAGCAATTAAGGAGATGAGTACTTTTCGCATCAACCTACACACTGATCGTGCAGCGCGAGACCAACGATCGTCCAAGTAATTTAGTACGATATTACTGTTTGGAGGCCTGTGCCTGGATGACTTCGGTATAAAGTTGCTTCCATGATAGGCGGTGAGTCACTTTCTGCCGTCGAAGTATAGTCAATCGATGACACGGTCAATACCAACGTACATATGTTCGAACGGATGCGGGCCGAAGTGCACCTTATGGTGACCACGGGTTCTGGCTTCGTGGTTGCGTATAGTCAGTAAGTTTCCATTAAATCAAATTTACCATCTTGGTCGGCCTACGTAAGCTCAGTCTATATTTTTGTGTATGTGTATATTTGTTGTTGTGCGTTGTTATTAGCTAGTGAGATAGGCCACGAAAATATTAACATAACGCAAGGTAGTTAGTTGACCAACTAATCACGACATGGGCACCTTTCGGCGATTTCGATGTGCACGCTTCGACCAGCATCTTCTCGCAATAATGGTGCTGAGAAAGGATTCGAAATTCGAGCAAGTCAAAAGTGTAACGGGGCACACCCTTGCGTGAACTGAACGCAAGGGTTTAGGTGCCCCGACAGACGTACAAGAGGCAAACGAGGAAGCGTAGATAAGGGAAAAGTAAAATTGTTGTTTTAATATAATTAAGTCTTTAACCACTGTCTCTCTGTTTAACCTGACTAAATTATGTTAATATAACTGAGTGTATGGTGACATCTCGTCACCACTCATTGCGCGCGTCCTGCGGCGATTGGTGGTTGATATCATCACGATATTAACCAATGAGCAGATCCTTTGGTCGCCTCACCAATATCACCACTATCGGTTATATTGTTAAAAGAATATTCGACATAATATTCTTTATTGTCACTTTCTTTTAAAGTGACACTTCCATGTAACGTGCTGCCCCGTTACATCACCCCCCCCTTAACTGATAGTCACTGTGTGACTATTAAAAATATGGCGGCCACCCATTTGTCGCCATTGGGACAGGGAGCACTTGTTGGGTCAGTTCCGTTTATACCTCAACCCGACCTCGCATAGTTAATATGTCTATGCGAGGTGACTCAAGGCACAACGAGTTCCCTGTGCCTGTGCCAGCTTCTGCGGCAGACGATTCGTCGTCTGCTGCTCCTTCTTCGCCTGCATCAAGAGGTGCTGCAGGTGCACGCGGTACAGCACCGCGTGCGCATGATGACCCCGACATTGAGACCATCTACTCTGGCGAGTCAGACGTGTCTAACTCGGGAAATTCTGCAGAGGCGTCTCGATCACCCGCGATGCCTCAGTATTCGCCAAGGCCACTGCCGAACGAACAGACTCGTGAGTTGCAACACAGTCTGTTCGGCAGTGATGATGAAGGTGATCAGAGTGGTGAGGAGCATTACTCCTTACAACCGCCGACTCGTGGCTCTTCGCACGAGCGTGAAGACGATGGCGTGAACCGCCGTCATTCTGGGAGACGCGGTACCGACAAGGGTACCACTGTGAAGCGTGATAAGTCGAAGCCGTGGCGTTTGCCCGAACGGATCATCAATAGCTTGTCTCACGAGACAAGCCAACACCATCGAATTCCCTTATTCGATGCGACTGAGATTCACGGCTTGGATCCCAACGCGAGCAACTTTCGCGCTGAGGAAGAATTTTATCTCGATGTCTTTCTTAGACATCGATGGTACAAAGGCAACCAAAAGCGTGACAAGGCCTCGCTTTCAACTGCGTGGAACGCGTTCGTCCAAAACGCAAAGAATTTTGGACGAGAAGGGTGGCTCAAGAAACTTGAGGCGACACGCCTCAGGTTCGAAAAGCGAACGCCAACCGGTGTAAGGTACCGGTTGCACTGTTTGTCGAGTGAGGAAGACATTCCTTGCCTCACATGGGGAGACCCTTGTGCGAGTTGTGTTGACAACTCGCAGCGTGCACATAGGGACGTGTTTTCCCTAAGTTTGCTCTAGGGAAGGGCACATCTCTCGGACGAGATGCGTGACGCGATTGCAAACTTGCAATCCGTCTACAAGCGCCTAGGGCGCGTGTTTACCGATGGGCCACAGGACTCATCGGATGGGTCTCGTCATACTGGCGGACGAGACCTTCAACGTCCATCAACAGCTGACAGCGGGGCTCCTACCTGTTCCAAGAGAGTGGATACCCTCGCCACTGGACGAGGTAGCTCGTCCTTGATCCTGAATCGTCACAGTGATTCAAGATACGCTCCACTAGGAAGCGTTGACCACCGTGAGCATCCACCAAAGGATGTGGTGGAGGAGGAAAGACCTCCTCCAGAGCCCCAGGCCCACCATCTCGACCCTTACGAGATGGATCGCGCAATCGGTGAATTGCGCGATGACGTGAAGCACGAGCGCGACCGGCTCTACGCTTTGTTGATGCCGTGCGGAAGAACCGCAAGGATCGCGAGGCTGACCGGGAGGGAGACGGCGCCGATTACGCCACATCGCAGCTTCAGGTCGAGCGGGATGTCCGCTCCCTTTTCGGAGAGCTGGAGATAGCTCGCGGGGAGATATCTCGGTTGAGTTCCGAGGTATCATATCTGCGCGACCAGAGGGATCGTCTGGAGCGCTAACGCAAGAACTTGATGGATGTTCTTGAACGTGGGGGCTATCTTCATCGGAAGAAGAAGGCTCGCACTGACAGTGCGGCCTGAGTCGCCCCACGTAAAACGTAGGATGCGTGCGCATCCTACGTGGCAATTCGATCGTGTATGAATTTTCCTTGCGATGCAACACTCGAAATGGCCCACTGTATTTCGGCAGTAGTTTACTACTGCCGACACTAGTGACTGCATGTCCAGTTAAGTTTACCGTAGACAGTAGTACTAGGTCTTTAACTTTAAATGAACGAACATTTGCTCTTCCATTCTTGTCTGCGTTCCGTTTCTGACGGTCCACCGCATTTGCGATGGAGTCCTGAACGAAACGGACTACCACCTCTTGAGTCAGCAGGAAGTTCTCTGCTGACTCGTTGTTTTGTCTTTCAGTGCGCTTCGTGAGCACTGCTAAGAGATTCTTCTCTTCTTCAGCGAGGTTGTCTTCTTCCTCGCTGGCATAATCGTTGACGATGCTGAATATACCAGCATCGTCATCATCATCCGAGTCAGTAGTACCGTCTTCGCTATTATTGAGATGATCTTCTTCATCGATGTCGACTTGATCGACATCGGCATCATACGTGATGACGTTTGCGTCGACACGTGATGAGCAAGAGCCAAAACGGTTTTTGCTCGAGCGAGTCCCTCCCCCACCTTATCCAAGAGTTACACTCTAGAAGGGCGGGCACACGTGGATGGCGTAGGCCATTCACGTAAAACGGTGTGTGCTGTGTTGAAGCATGCACCGAATTATTGATGGCGAATTCCACCTTGGGTAGGGAATTCGCTCCAACTCGGAAACGAGTGGACATATCCTCGAAGGATCTCTTCGAGGACACGGTTTGCACGTTCCGTCCGACCATCTGTTTCCGGATGGTCAGAAGTGGACATCTTCAATCGTGTTCCGAGAGTACGGAACACGGTTTGCCAAAAACCCGCCGTGAACCGAGGGTCACGGTCGGATACGAGTTCACGGGGCAACCCGTGGAGTCGAAGGATCGTGTCGAGAAAGACACGAGCACAACTTTGAGCCGTGATCGACTCAGGGACGGCAGCAAGATGGACCATCTTGCTGAACCGGTCCACGAACACAAGAATACCATTAGTCTTATGAGCGTCTTCGGGAAACCCGAAGACGAAGTCCATTGAAACGGACTGCCAGCACTCTGTCAGAACCGGTAGAGGCTGTAATGGTGCACGGGATGAAGGACTAGGCTTCACCCGTTGACAAACTTCGCAAGCACGTATGTACTTGCGTACAAACTGATACTGGCGGGGCCAGTAAAAGTCACGACTTACCGTGAGGTAAGTCTTTTCCCTACCACGCTGTCCACCTGTTGGGGCATCGTGACACTCATACATGATGCGTAACCGCAAATCATTATGAGTGGGGACGACGACACCCGGCGTGTCGCCGTCAACGGCTGTATAGTATAGCAGTCCGTTACGTGTAGTATACCGATTTTCATAGGATCGGTACAAAGCCGGTAAATCCCTCATGGATTTACTGGATGGATGCACCAGATGATCCATCAATCGCAGAAGATCCTTATCTTCTGCGTATGCCTATCGTACGTCGTCAAGTAAGCTTGACGATGGAACACTGACTGTCAGTGTCG